CACTTACTTATACAAAATTTTTTATTTTTTAAGTTTTGCCATAAAAAAACATGTACTCACTGTAGAGAGAGTAAGAAAGCACCCCCACCATGAGGCATGGTCATGCTGAAATCCTTTCTCCTCCATTTTTCCCTCCTTTTGGGATTTTGGGCATGTGCACAGATGTTTCTCAAACTAATGAGTCTGAGACTCAAACCACACAGTCAGCCATATCGGATCTAGCCACCTTAACCACTGTGCCACTGGCTGGCCTGCTAGACAAATCTCACCCTCTGTTTTTCCCCTATTATATCTTGAAGACCATTCCATTTAAATGCATACTGAATTTTCTAGTTTATTTTTATTTATTTATTTAGTTAGTTAGTTAGTTATTTTGTAGAGTAGTTTTGCTATAGGGTGTGGGCATTCACCAGAGAGACAGAGATTTTGGGCACATACGCACATATGCCTGGCATGAGTTTTAAGCTGTCAGGTTCGGGACTCAAACTGCAGTCAACTATGTGGAAATCCAGTGATGTAACCATTATGCCATCTGCTGATCCCTATTTTTATTTTTTTAAGAATTACTTATTTTATTTATTATTGTTCAATTGTACCAGAGAGAGAAAGCAAGCTGCCAGGTTCGGGACTCGAACTATGCTTAGCCATGTGGGAGTCTAGTGCCTTAACCACCATGCCACCTGATAGCCCCCTAGTTTATTTTTACAACTGCATACTGTTCCACTGTGTTCCAGCACAATTTATTTAGCCAGTCTCTGATGATAGACATTTAGCTTATTTTCAGTCTTTTTTTTTAATAATTATTTTATTTAACTTTTATTTATTTATTTATTTAAATTTGACCAGGGAGGAACAGACTAAGAGAGAGAGAGAGAAACAGAGTAAGAGGGAAAGTGAGAAAGCAAGCCACCAGGTCCAGGACTCGAACTATAGTCAGCCATGTGGGAGTCGAGCACCCTTAACCACCATGCCACTTCCTAGCTGCTTATTTTCAGTCCTCTGCTATTATAAAACACAAGTTCAGGGACTGGTAAGTGGTGTGGTGGTTAAGGGCGCTGGACTCCCACATGGCCGACTGTGGTTCAAGTACCAGACCTAGTGGCTTGCTTTCTTACTTTCCCTCTCTTTCTCTCTCACTCTCTCTCTGGTCAAACTTAAATAAATAAATAAAATAAAGTTAAATAAAGTAATTCTTTAAAAAATAAAACACAAGTTCAAGCTTTTGCCTATTAGAAAAATTTCTAGACGTGAAATTACTTAGTAAAACGGTATGTTTTTACACTGGCAATTTTAATACAATTGCCAAATTGCTCTCCATGGAAGTGAATCAATTTACACTTCTTCCAGCAACATGTGAGAGCTCCTGTTCCCTAATGCCCTTGCCAAGTCAGTGGGATATTAAAGTGTTTCTTTTTGTCACTCTGGTAAGTGAAAACTTACCCTTATAGCATCATCCAAAATGTCATTCTTCCTTATCTTATTCAATTCTTTAATAATTCTCGGGGGGGGGGGTTTGTTTTGTTTTGTTTTGTTTTTTGTTATAGGGCACGTGCACTCGCTAGCGAGACAGAGAGATAAAAAGCGAGAAATCACCCCCCCGGGGGGGTGGCCACGCTGCAATCCCTTCTCCTCCATTGTCCTCTTGGGATCTTGGGCATGCACGTACACACAACTGGCGTGAGTTTAAGCCACCAGGTCCAGGACTCGAACCTTGGTCGACTACATGGGAGTTCAGCAACATAGCCATTATGCTAACTGCTGGTCCCGTTGGGGTTTTTTTCTTTTTAGAGATTTTTGCTATAGGGCATGTTCACTTGCCAGAAAGACAGAGAGAGACAGAAAGCAAGAAATCACGTCCTGGGAGGATGGCCATGTCACAATCCCTTCTCCTCCATTCTCCTCTCAGGATCTTGGGCACACATGCACACAAGCCCAGCATGAGTTTAAGCCACCAAGTCCGGGACTTGAACCACAGTCGACTCCATGGGAGTCCAGCGACAACCATTATGCCATTTGCTAGTCCCTGATCCTTTCAAAATTCTATTTTACCGAGACCAGCAGGTGGCATGGTGGTTAAGGTGCTGGACACTCCCACTTGGCTGACCATGGTTCAAGTCCCGAACCTGGCAGCTTGCTTTCTCACTCTTTCTCTCTCTCTGTCTCTCTCTGGTCAAATGAAAATAAATGAATAAATAAATTAAATTAAATTAATAATTATAAAAGGAAAAAATTCTATTTTACCAATATTAATGTTGACACAGAAAAGATAAACCATTTGGTCTTGTTACACCCAATGTAAATAGGCAAGTTCAGATGTTCAACAGTCTTTCCTATACTACAAGAAGTTCGAAAGAGAGTGGATGGTTTCAAGCATCTCTCGGAAGACATATAATATATTATATAATATAAAAGAACACAGCAGCTTTCAGACATCTGCTAAGGGGCCTCTTCTGCAGTGATTTGATACCAAGACCACATTTCTGTGATCCCTCCAGAGAGTAGCCCTGTGAAAGCAGAAGGACTCTGATTAGCAATCTGACCTGACCTAGTCTCAAGCATAGTTGGGATTCAATATCTGAGGCAGTAAGGTGATGGTGGTGTTAATTTCTCTGAGACTTTTTTTCTCACCCAAGATCGAAATATTGATCAGAATGGTGGGAGTGAAGGTATGTTTTTCCTAGGTTTTAGCTTCATGTAGGATATTCATTTGGTCCTGATGAAGATAACAGTACCACACACACACACACACACACACACACACACAGCTCTAATGATAAACCTGGGAGGTAGATATCTTTATTGACTATTTCACTGATGAAACTGAAGTCCAGAAAGATTAAGTGGATTGGTTAGGGTCACAATATACCAGTGGCAAAGCAGTAAATACAATGTAGACCTGAAACTGAACTTAAAACTCATTAGATTCCCTTGTGAAGTCTTCTCTTCCTCCTCCACCCACTCCCACACACACCATTTCATTTAAGTGAATGGCTTGACTACCCACTCAGGCCATCGATATAAAAACCTAGAGATTAACAGCCGACAGTATAGTGGTTAAGTTGCCAGACTCTCACGTGGCCAACTATGGTTCAAGTCCTGGCGGCTTGCTTTCTTGCTTTATCTCTCTCTCTCTGTTGCACTCTGGTCAAATTGAAAAAATAATAATGATGATGAATAAAATTAAATAATTCTTTTTTTAAAAAAAGAAAGAAGCCTAGAGCTTAACATCCACAGCTGTTTTATTCATCCTATTTGTCACCGAGTCCTGTGAATTCTATGTCCTCTGTGACTTTTCTCTTCACCCTTCTTAGTTCCTCTGGATGCTGGATCATTGCAGCAGCCTCCTTTTTAATCTTTGTGCCTCCTATACATCCTTTCATCAGTCACATACAGTACCCCCAAAAGTTAGCTTTGAAAAGAGATAACCTCATGTCCCAGCTTACCAACTTCAGTAGGTCCCCACTGTCTATAGAGTAGGTCTAGACTCCTTTACAGGAACCCTACACAACCTCTTTCCAGCCACTCTGAAGTACTCTCCTGGCTCCAAGTGCAAACGTTTTTTCTTCCCTCCTGCTTTTGCGTGAGTTGTTCTCTCTGCTTGGTAACTCCTTCCCTCATTGGCCTGGAAAACTCATACTGGTACCAGCACATGGTATAATGGTTACATCACTGAACTCCCACATAGTCAACTGTGGTTCTAGTCTCTGACCCAGTGGCTTAAAACTCATGCCTGGCGCATGTGTGTGTGTGCCCAAAACCCCAAGAGGAGAATGCAGGAGAAGGTATTGCGGCATGGCCATTCCTTGGTGAGGAGGAAATTTTTTTTTTTTTTTTTTTGCTATAGGATGCGTGCGCTCACCAGACAGACAGAGAGAGACAGAGAGATAGAAAGCAAGAAACCACTCTCCAGAGGGGATGGCCATGCCGCAATCCCTTCTCCTCCATTCTCCTCTCGGGATTTTGGGCATGCACGCACACGCACCCGGCGTGAGTTTAAGCCACTGGGTCCGGGACTTGAACTGCGGTCGACTACATGGGAGTCCAGCAACATAACCATTACGCTAACTGCTGGTCCCTAGGAGGAAATTTTTTGATTTCTGTCTTTCTCTCACTCTGATGAGCACACATACCCTATAGCAAACATCCCTCTACACACAAAAAAAAAAAAATCCTCATACTTCAGTATCCCAAATTCACCTCCTCTGAGAGCTGTCTTTTGACATCTCAGTATGTTAATGGTTCCTTCTCTTTATTGCAGGAACATTTTCCAGGAACACACCTCTGTTACAAGTCTTGTCATATTGTTTCAGGATTCTTTCTCTCCCCCACTAGATTGAAGGGCACAGGCCATGAGTGACTCATCTACCCCAGAGCCTAGCTCAGCACACACAGGAGCTGTTCAGTAGGCACTCGAAAAGGCAAGGGGGGGAGGGGACAGACTCTTCCCCAAAACAACAGGACCCTGTTCATTGAGTTTAGGACACTGTGAGGCTTAATGCTTCAGGTTATCTCTACCTAAAGCAAAATGATAGGAGAGCATTTCTCCAACAAGTTAATTCCCTTGTAAGAGGTGAGGAGAGGGAAGACTGAGGAGAGAGAACAAAGCTGGAATTTTTGCCCTTCAGGAACTCTTTCCTATTGGCAGAGGCAACACATTAGCTAACTTGAGAAACATCTGAGCTGATGTCACTCAGCAAAAGGGTAAAAGGGGGACTAGGCCAGAACTCTCAGAATTTGCAGAGAACACCCTTTACCCTGAGTGGGTGAAAGAACGCTTTGCCACTCACTCCACCCAAACCCTCCTGCAGTAAACAGTTCTCATTCTAATGACTGTCCCCTGAAACTTGCAATCTGTCCTTTCCTGGTATTTCTAAAATGAACCCTAAAGAGCTGAAATAAAAAAACACTCAAGAGTCTTTTTCGCATAGCAGAAAAGAAAGGAGAGGCCTATCATGTAATTAGCATTTTCAGTATACTTTTATTGTTATTTTAAATGGCATTCGAATCAGTTACAAGTTCAGCAGCCTACTCTGCCCCACACAAATACTCCTGCAGGTAAATAGGGACTTTTAGATGAAATGTTGTCTGCAAGAATCCTCTGACCCAGTGGGATTTGTCTTGTCCTGCCTGCGGAGAGGGATTCGTGCCTTTCCGGGGTTAGAGCAGCATTTGAGGGTGTCTCTTGTGCAGGCAGGTGGGGGAGGGGCGGGGAATGCAGGGTCACGGTGGGTCAGGGGCGAGCGTGGGCGCAGACTTGCTGGGAAAGCCCTGGGCGCCCTGAGTTCGGGGGTGGGGCCGCGGGAGGCAGTGCTGGCCCGGGTGGGAGGCGGTGCCTTGCCGGCCCTTCCCTCGGCCTGGCGCTGCAGAGCGCTGCCCCGGCTGCGCCGCTCGCCCGCGGGTCGCGCCCTCAGTTAGCGCTCGGCCTGCGCGCTGTCTCCTTCGCTGGCGGTTTCTGGTCGGATCCCAGCTGGCCCAGACTTGCTCTGAAGTAGGAGGAACCGCTGTCGAGCGAAAAGTGCACACGGGGTGATTGATGAACTCTTAATAGGAGTAACCTCGCCCGCCCCCCACCCTACACACACAGAGAAATCTTGCACCCCGGCCCCTCCGCAGGCCTCCTCACTGCCGAGAGGGGCCGCGGTCGCCAGCCGGCTGGGTGATGAACTCACCGTTTGTCTTTCCGAAAGGCTTCCAGGTGGACTCAGGAACGCCCGCCCGCAGCCTGGCCGCGCCCGCCAGCGCGGGAGCACGGAGCAAGCGCGCGTCACGTGGCGGCGCAGACCCCAGCGGGCCTTTGTGCAGCGCTGCCGCGCGCCCGCCGGGCTAGCAGAGCGCCCCGGGGAGCGGCGGCTATTGTTCCCCGCTGAGGACTGGGGCGCTCAGATTCGGGGTCACCGACAGCGCCCTCCGTAGATTGTCTCCAGGACGGGTCGGGGCTTTCTTTGTTCTCTGGGATGGCGTCGTCACTGCTCCAAGGGGTAGCGGACGGGTGGCAGAGAGTGGGTTGAGGGAAGCTGGTGCCAGCTTCCTAAAGCTGAACTCGCCCGGCTCACTTTCCCGCTCGCCCGGGGGGGGGGAGGGGTGTGTGTGTACGTGTGTACGGTTTGTGCAGGGCAGTGCCGTGAACAATAGAGCCATCACAAGACCCTCTCAGTGTCCTCACAAGTCAGAGCCACTCTTCTACCCTTGGGAAGGGTCCTGGCCCAACAGGCCTTTCTGGCCCGTTTTTAAGCTGTAGTTCCCGGGCAAAAATACTTAACTGAACCACAAAGCTCTCTGGGAATTCCGATTTATTAAGGTCTCCTCTTCTGGTGCTTACAAATGTTAAAGCTCTACTTCTTTTGTAATTTTCTTGATATTATTATTCCTTAAATATGATCCAGACTAACTATAGGCGTCAGACAAAATATTTTGCCACAAGATCTTAGGAACAAGACGACTCTCTGATTAGCTACTATCTTACAGCCCTCCTGGGGGACCCTTCACCTGCCCCCACTACTGCCGTGGATTGCTTATCCATATACCTCGGTTCCTCCTTCCTGTGTGGAAATTTTTGTTCACTGTGCTTAACAGTGAACCTGTGGACCTCGCCTAAAAATCAGCTTTTGGATTGTCTTTGTATTTTCCAATTTGCCAAGGTGGGTATGAGCCCAGAGGGAAGCATTTAGAAGTGCATAGACTTTAGGCCAGGTATATAAATCCCTTTGATACCAGCCTTGGATCCCCGAACTAAGGGCATGCGTAGCTGCAGCAGAAAACAAGGGAACAGCGAGAAGTGAGATTTCATTCTCTGTGTTGATCCTCTCCTTTCACTGTCCTCTCCAGCACCACTGACACAGTAAGTGCACTATCCAGTATTTTTTCTCTCCACCCAGGTCTCCTTCAATGGAGACCTATGAGAACTAGCCTCCAAAAGTGATCAAGGCTTGGCTAGTGACACCCAGTGTCATCTCCCTATGTCCCAAGTGTCTAGGAATAGGCCTGCTCACCCAGGCCTTAAGTATACCCACTCTGAAAAGTTGTGGTGCCCTGAAGTGATCAGATTTTAGGCCTGTGGAGACTGGAGCTTTCTGCATCTGTTTCCTAAAGCTGAACAAACGTCTATTCTTTCAATTCTTCTCTTTCAGTTTCTGAAAAAAGGAACAAAGAAATGGCAAGAACTGCCAGATGAAGAACTTCCTAGACCAGTGACGGGGGAATAACCATTTCTTGAGTTCTGAAGGAAGTTTCCGCTAATTCTCAGGATAAAGTCAAAACTGGCTTGTGACTGTTGCTCGAATACCGAAGGTCTAAACATCTTCTGGTTCCTCCAGGTCAGGCAGAGGACCACTTTTTATTAAAATAAAGGGTTACTCACTTCTTTGTTATTCAGACATACACCCACACACATCCTCTTCACCCTCCCTAATGAAAAGCCTCAACAGATGGAGAGCCTGGACTCTCAGGTCTGCTGGCTAAGATGCACTTCACTCAAAGGCCAGTCAGCTGGTACCGACTGGGGAGGGAGAAGGGACAAGCAGCTAGTATAGGTAATCACTATCTTTTAATACTTCCTACAAATAGAAATTCGAAAAATCTTGTTCAGCAAGGTTAGCAGCCTCTGGGGCCTCAGAAACCAATTTGGCTGATGTGCCTCTGATAGGGACGAGGCTTGGGACTGCACCAAGGGGAACGTATATGTATCCCTCTGTATTCTCTCTCTCATTTGAAAGCCTGTTCAAAGAAATGGTACAAATGGATGGTTAACTTAATGATTCCATCAGAGGCGGATTTTTCTCTGTCAGGTCTTTGGATGAGGCTAAGGTCTGAAAGCCAGAGGCAGAATTGCCCTTTCTCACATCCCTGCCACTGGCCAGAACTACTCTTCCAGGCCTTTTACTCTGCAACTTCTCCACACCCCTAGGGCCAGCCCAGTTGGTTCTCAGCCCTCCACTCCACTCCAGGTTGAGTCCCGAGTTTTTCCTGGTTGCAGCAAAAGATCTTCCACTCCCTAAATCTCTTTCCCACCCCTGACCTTCCATTTTGCAGCGGTCTGTTAGGGTACTACCTGCCTTAATTCCCATTTGATTGCCTTCACAGAACCAGAGCCACCAGAACGACTGCCACTCCTTATCCAAGGGACTGGGCCTTCTTTTAGACTTCAGGAGGCTTCACAACCTTCCCCGATCCCCACCTCCCCCGCAAAGCGGTCTCTATAAGGAAAAAGCAGAGCTGGTCAGAGCGGCCCTCCTGTGCTGCACACGAGGTAGACGTTCCAGAGACCAATGCCCTGAGGGAGACCGGCCCTTCCCCACCTCCCGGCGTCGGCCCGCGCTGCCTTTGTGTGGCCTTCCCCTCCGCGGAACCCGGGGGGAAGCTGTGCGCACAATGGCGCGGCTGCTGCGGGCACGCTCGACCCAACGTCCCCGGCGGCCAGACTTCGTAGCCTCGAGGCTTGGTGCGTTCTCCTTTGCCCCACTCCCACCCCCAGCACCCCTACGGGAAGACAGACGCTAGCCAGAGAGAAGGTTTCTTTCCCCGGCTAACTTCCCCCTTCCCGCTGCGGGTCCTCGGCCGGAGAAGGAGAGGCCGGGGCGCAGGGCGCCATTGCTGGAGCCGACCTCCCCTCCCCCACTCTTTTTTCTCCGTTTCTCTGCGAATGGGGAGGGGGGAGGCGGGCGCCTCCGCCGATAGAGCAGCTATTGTGACCTTCCCTCGCTGAGCGGGAACCCAGCCGAGTGTGTACCGCCGGCGATGGCGGGGTAGGAGGACTGTGTGAGCAAACCTCGGGTGCAGAGGGGGTGGCACTGGGAAATAAATAAAGCTTTGCACCTTCGGGCAGTTGGGCCCTTCAGAGGGCGTTCCGTTGTGTTTAGACTCGGGTGCTTCCTAACACTAATTGCAGGCTCGAGAGGAGCGGAATTTATGGCGAAGGCCAAGACGGCTTGTTTATAATTTATGAAGTTTTAAATGACTGTACCGCAGGGCCCAGCTCCAGCCAGAGCGGGTGGCTGCGCGGGAACGCGCCCTCCCAGGACTCGCCGCTATCCCCACCCGCGCCAAGAGCAACCGACTGTGCCCATCACATGACTCACACCAGTGGCAGGAACAGATCCTAGCCCTGCTCAGAAGTCTGGAGCACCACAGAGGTGGGAGAAAGCCGCAGATTTGGTCCTAGAGAACTCCCTCCACCACCTACCCCAGAGGAGGGCCTTGGGGAGGCTGAGGCTGCCTGGAGGGGGAACCCCTAACCCCGCACTTCTTTGGAGCCTGAGTGACACCGGAAGCTGATGTCAGCCTGGCTAGACACCATTTAAAGTCTAATCCATGAAACCCTAAGCCGCAGATGACATGGGGGGCTTCGCAGACACCCGCAGACTCAGCAGATACTCCTGCGGTAACACACCGAGCTGGAAAACGCCTGGAGCCATGATGCATTATGTATTTTTATTATTATTTATGGTAGGAAGAGGAGATGAGGGAAAACTGGGCTGAATCTAAACAGCCTGACAATTCATCTATTTAATATTTAGCCAGTTAAGAAAGGTGGTTGTAACCTGCAAGGCAGCGAGCTCTTGATTTCTCTAATAGCTTAAAAAATAATTTCTTACAAGACAATTAGAAATTCTGCCTATGGATGCAAATTTCATAGAAAACAATGTTAAGTCTTGAAAGTGGGTAAAATATGCCTTCGATTGAAGTCATTTATTCTGTTGATACACTTCTACAACATATATACTTTAAACCTGTTCGGATAAAGTGAAATTTAGCAAAAGGATATCCCTTCCCACCCCCAATCTAACATGCCATTTTTAAAAACAGCACAAAGGAACAAGGAAACTAAATATTATTTTGAGCCATCATTACTTAGCGAAACACAAACATCCAAATAGAAACGATTGCCCGTTCCACCAGAAGATTAGAAGTTAAATTATTTCCACACAAAAGGAATTTCACCTCATGTCATGGAGGATGTAGTAGGAGTTGCATTATTTGTCAAACCAAATTGAGATGCGTAGGCTGACTTTGCTGAAATACAAAAGAATTGAACCTTATCTGAAGGCGGTTTCCAAGTGCCCCTTCTCACAGAAGTGGTGTAAGTTGTCCGCCCCTAGCTAAAGCCACGCTAATATTTACAAAATGGTTGTAAATCTTTGAGGACTTTTTTTTTGCCCCTTTAGTACAAAGAAGTAGGAGTAAACAGGGTGTTTATACTTGTCATGTTCCATTAATGAAACTTTTATTACTTCACATCCTGGGGAAGGTTTGTTTTCTTTAGAAATGAACTACAGACCACTACAAAGGAAAAATTCATGACAGCATTTCCTAGAAAAAAAGCTTGGGTGCTCCTCTCTGGATGATCGCTTCTTTCTCTACACCTTAGCTTTTTCATAGCTCAACTATTCTTACAACTTCTCTCGTGTCTTTGATTGTCAGTTTTCCTTCAAGGTCATTATTATTACTAATGCAGAAAAGTGAGCTGTGGCCTCCCCAATGTAAAAGTCGATTGTTTCTAGAAAGGGCGGTAGAAACTGCAGTGCTTTCTTTCTAAAGCCCTATCCAAATCATCCGCCCAGAACATTTCTAGGTTTCTAGGTATGCATCCTTGGATCCTCCCCCGCCCTCCCATTTCAGTAGCTGGAATGTAATCAAGTATCCCCAGAACCAATTTGTGCACTAGATGCCAAATAAATAAAAATATTTTTCTTCCAAGCGGTCAGTCTCTTTCAGGGCCTTCCGTGGGGATTGTGCGAAAGATAAAGGCAGAGTGATCTGCTTGCAAGTATGCGTGATTAACACAGATACACTTCCGACTGAGAAATTTTTTTATTCTAAATATTTGTTCAAATAGTACCAGACAATTTGAAATCAATAAACTATGTTGAGTGACGAGGGCCACGGCTCTTGAAAAATGACTAGCGTGTGTTGTTCCCCGCCACCAGGCTGCCTGCCTGCCTGCCTCTACCCATGAAGGACAATTTGCGGTCTTAATCCTTTACATGAACTACATACACCAGCCACGGTTACAACTGTTCAAAACTACTCTCTCAACTAGTTCAGGCGGAGGGGACTAAGGTGAAACGTGGCCCCCACGGCCTGGGAGCGTGTTTCTAAACTCAGCTGGAGAATTCTACAAATATACACATAAATACATTAAGACGAGGATAAATAATCAGGGAAACGAAATGACTCGCTTCAAATAATAAATACAGATTGTTTAGTCCAATGCAATCCTTAAGGGACGGGAAGGAGCATATAAATTAAGGTCTCCAAAACTAACCTAGACGAATGCGGGCTAGGCCTGAGACTCTCCGGGTTCTACTCCCTCTGCAAGGCCCGTCGCTGATGGGTCTTAGACTTACCTTTGGGACACATAACCAGAATAGAGCCCCTCGGTCCGCAGTATATGGCACTGTCAGGCTTACAAGGGAGGATCCTTGCGGCTGATTTATGGCGAGCCACCCAAAGGAGAACGCGCCTGGAGGGTAGGCCCGGACCTCCTCGCTGGAGGCCGGAGACCCAGGAGGCGGCGGCCAGGTCAGAATCCTGGAAGGGGGTCCCTCAGGTGCCCTGCAGGCCCCGCCCGCCACCCCACCACCAAAACAAGAGGTAATTGCGCCGCTAGTTCGGGCCAGCGGCGGCCGCTCCCGAG